CTTTGCAAATAGGGAAGGGTGGGCAAGGGAAGGGGAAAAAAAATAAGAACCAAGAGACTCATGTAATGGTACAAGATCCCAATGATGAATTAACTGTATTTTATACCTAAAATGTACCAATAAAGTTAATGGGGGGGAAAAAAAAAAAGAAAAGCATTTTGCTGTTGAAATTTTCAAAAAAGTATTTCAAAATAGGCAATTATATACCATACCAAGAATTTGATGTGGTTCACTTTCTTCAAACTTTCCTGCAACCGTTGACTCTGCAAATGACAAAGACAGCTTGTGTGATTCCACTAGATCAACATGCGTACTCACAGTTTTCATGAGGGGATCCAAGGCCTGCAAACAAGGATCTTAGGCATCTTCAACTTAGTGATTTCTAACTTTGGCTGCCAAGTTTTGCAATTCTAGATCTGAAAATATTCCCCAGTCTTTCAGGTAAGTTACACATAGTGGGGCTGAGGGTTTAGCTGAGGTTTTCCAGAGCCTGCCGCACAAGTGCAAGGTCCTGAGTTCAATCCCCGGTACCAAAAAAAAAACCCAAACAAAAAAAGTTATACATAGTGTTTCAAGAAAACCTGTTTCTGGCCAACCATGGTAGTGCACGCCTATAGTCCCAGCACTTGGAAGCCCGAGGCAGAAGGGTCATTGCAAGTTCAAGGCCAGCCTGGGCTACATAAACAGACAACAACAAAACAAAACAAGAACAAAACACCTGTTTCTAATGAGATGTGTGAATCTATCCTATTAGTGGTACAAGCCATTTATTTAAAAACCACTGAGTAGAAATGTGAGCAATGCATAGTACTATTAGGGGAGGAGACTGGTGATACATGAGAACACAGCTGGCCTAGGAGCAGGTGAAAAGCACAGCCCTGCCCATTAGGATCTGCAAGACTAGTTCCCTCAACATAAAATGGGAATGACAGTATCTATCTTTCTGGGTCGTCCGGAAAATTAAATGAGCCGACAATACATTATTGGGCACTCAGAAACTGTGTCTACAACAGAGTGCGTTTATGTAAGTGCCTGCTATCTTCATCTCTACTGTACGCTTCAATTCCTGCCTCCTTGTCATCAGTATGAGGACAGTAACAGAGTCTGACTCAAGTGTAGGGGTGCATTTATTCAACCAATACTCACTGAGCATTGGATGTTGAAAAACCCCTCATGAAACCTCATTTTTAACATGTTGTCATCAGTGGATCTTACATTCCAGGGCATCAATTGAAATTAAGCATGTAAAGTGCTTCATAGTAGTTGGTACTAAATAAATGCTACCACAAAGAAGAAATGGAGACGATGACAACTTTCTGCTCTCAGAATGCATGGAGTGTAAGGCATAACACTCAGACAACCACGCCCGCTAGAGAGCCACGTAGCTTAACATGCACTCAGCATGAGGTGCCAGCAGTATGGGGTCATTCAAGTCCTCTTGAGTATTTGAAATCAGCTACAGGTTTTGGTTGCAGGAAGATGCCAGCTTTTGTAACCTCAAGGGTTTGGTAATTAATGTCATCATTTATTTTCATGCACTTCACAGGCCCCGGTGAATTGAAGAACTCTTCCCTTGATGTCTAGACTCTCCCTAAATTAAATTACTATGGCAATGAAGGCTTCTCTTTCCTAACAACCAAATCAAGATATGACCTAATGGCATGATAAGAACACTTTTTAAAAAATAGAGCCTTTATAAACATAAATCTTACAATTATTAATGTAAAAAGGAACTAACCTATGAAGCAAAGAACTATGCTAGTGAAATATGAAAATGTTAATTTTTCTTAACTATAAAAATGATAACTAAGGAAGTGCCAATTCCCCAAGAAAACTGACTATGGGGCTGAGGGGCAAACCCAGGGCCTTATTTATGTTAAACTTGTGCTCACCACTGAGCTACACCTCCAGTCCAAGAACACATTTAAAACAGATATTTAAACCCATATGCATAACTTCCTGTAAGCAGGACAATGCTTTGAGCTTTACACACATCAACTCATTAAGTCCTCACATAACAATCCTTACTTGCATTATCATTCCTAATACAGGTGAGAAAATGGAGCATCAGGTGGTGACATCATGCTTCTAAATTTAGCAGTGTTCTGCTCTCATCACATAAATATTACACTTTGCTCTATAAATCTATGGTCTGAATGTCTGAATGTTTGCGTCTGCCCCAAATTCCTGAACTGTAACCCCCAATGCAATAGTATAAAAGAAGTGGGGTCTTTGGAGGTGATTAGAGGGTAGCACCTTCATGAATGGGATGAGTCTGCTCTCCCTTTGCCATGTGAGACAGAGCAGCCATCATCTAAGAGGAATGGGCCTTTACCAGATACTGGATCTGCTGGCATTTTTTTTTTTTTGGTACCAGGCATTGAACTCAGGACCTTGTGCTTGCAAGGCAGGCGGCTGAACCACTGAGCTAAATCCCCGGCCCCAACTGACATTTTGATCTTAGATCAGCCTCTAGAACTGCAAGCAATAAACTTCTGTTGTTTGAAAATTACTCAGTCCAAGGTATTTTGTTATAGCATGCAAATGGACTAAGACACTAACTATAACATAATTACATATTTTCCACAATTAGAACACCTGGAATGCAAAGATAATCAGCACTGCCCCCAGAATCCTGCAATTTGGGAAGCTAATCCAGTGCACTTGGAATATCTATGGCACTGAATCCCACTTTTAGCCTCCATATTCCCTTATCCTGAAGGCTGTCAGTCTACGGGAGCATTATCCTCCCTTCTGCACTCTTCCTCCTTCCCTGGAAGTCACTTGTGACCCCAGCTCTCACTCCAGGCTGCCAGTGGTATTCCTTTTCATCTGATTTCATCTGGGCCATTGCTGGTCAGTGCCAGCAGTCTCTCCCAGAACTTACTTCCAACAAGAAACATGCCCACAAGGCAGTCATCTGCTTGCTTATGAGATAGTAACCCTGATGACAGAACACTGGATGGAATGAAACATTTTCTGCTTTTGTTGAGGAGTCTTTGGACTCATTTAAACTTTAGGTTTCTACTCACGAGTTGACAGGCATGCTTTATCTTCTCCACAATGCCATCGAGTCCCAAGTATTGTAAAGACAACCACAGAGGCAGGGCACGGAGTTTGTCTGCTGGCTTATTTGATGTAAGACCAGCAACTAATGTCTAAAAAAGGCGATATGAATGCATCAGTCAAAGCCACTGGAATCCCAGGGACTAACTAGCTACCGTTTATACATGCTTTGTATTTGACACTTAGCTATACACTTGGCTTACATTATCCATTCAATCGTCCAACAACTCCATGAGGTAAATATTTTAGGTAGCTTAGCTCAGAGATCTGGAGGAGCAAAACCAGGATGAGAATCCTGATAGATCCCAGAAGTAGAACTAAGCTCCTTCAAGCAGCAGCTCTGTGTAGGGTTGCTCTGAGCATTCTCAAATACCTAGTCATTATACTGAGCAAGTCATCAACTGTTCTAGGAATAAATCACTTAACATTCATTTTGCATGTGCCTGTCACTAACCCATCCACTACCAAAACCCTAAGAGATTTGTTTAAAAACATCATGTGACAACCTATTGGACAATGTACATCAGAAGCCCTAAAATACTCCCAAGTCAGCAATCCTACTTCTGGGAACTTATCTAAGGAAATAATTTAAAACTGAGAAATATGTTCATCAACTCATTATTTCAGTAACAAACATTTGAAAACATCTTAAAAGTTCACAAATGGCCATGATTAAATGAATTGTGATACTGAAGTGACAGAATATTAAGTAGGCATAAAACACCACAAAATCCTTCATACACATAGGGAAGTACGGGGTGAATAAATAGAAAAACACATGTAATTCATATATATACCTATATATAAATTAAGTATAAATGAAGTGGAATTAAGTGAAAAAATTCACCCTTTCCTTCATTTCTTTGTATTTTGTCCCTAAAGCCAATAATGACCACATGCCCCTCCCTTTCTCCTCCCCAAGGAGAGTAAGCTCACCAAGGCCGGGTCATCGTGTTTGTACAGCGTCACTGCAGGAACCGCAGGCAAACCCAGCCATGAGCCAGGAGTCAATGTCATGCTATCACATTTAGTTGCAGCCTACCAAAGAGAGAACAGCATTTCATTAGATTATCAGAGTGCAAACCCAGCTCCCTCCTCCATTCACTAAAACTGAAAAACCAAGAAATAAGAGATTTTAAGTTCCTTCTCAGGAACACTGATATTAAAGAATTTTTTTTTTTTTGGTACTGGGGATTGAACTCAAGACCTCGTGCTTGCAAGGCAGGCAGCAGCACTAATGAGCTAAATCCCCGGCCCAACACCAATATTAATAAGTCAGTAACATACCAGCACTGATGAGGAGACATAACCTAGAGCCAATGTTGCCAGATTCACACTGGAAGAAAAAACACCAATCTAAGAACTACAGTAGTTATTTCCTGTTAATTACTAAGTCTGTGCTTTCCCCACATAACGAAAACCATGACTGTGCTACTGCAAAGTGACATGTAAATGTCTTTTAGCTGCGTGATTCTTTTATTGCAGCAACAGATGTGGATTATACAAATTCCGGGAAACGCTTCAAAAAACATTTTTAATAAAAATGTGCTTCAGAGGATAACTCATTTATTTAGTACGATGCGTGCACTACTCCATCTCTTTCACAACTACTACCTTCCAGGCATCATTCTTTTCAGAGACATAAGAAAGGAACCCCCTGGATGATGCAGTGGCAGTGGCACTCTGCCTGCCCTGCATCTCCTCCTCCCTCTTCCCTTAAAGGCGCTCCAGTAGACTTCTCAGAAACTACCCCACTTTCTTCCAACAGACAGAAGCTCTGAACCAAAGAGATTCCATGAACTGTCAGAGGACTCCGTTTCCCTGGCCATGGTGATTGGTTCAACATGAGACTTGCTGGCACTTCTGACCCACTGAACACAAAGTTGGAAAGAAAGATGGAGTTTCTGCAGCTACTATGCCCCAAATAGCACAGGCCCTCCGCAGAGCCAACAAACAGGAAATCAAGCCAAGTGACTGTGACTGGGGGAATGCAGTGGGGAGGACGACAATGAATTCTGGTTGACATTATGGCTAAAGTCAGACCTAACAATCGTCTTTTTAGTTATGTGGGGTACTGGAACCTCTCTTTGCTTTAGCCAGTTTGGATTATTATTTTTTTAATCTGCAACCAAAAGAGCCCTTAGTGAGCAGGGTATGGTGGCACATGCCTGTAATCCCAGCACTCTGAAGGCAAGGTAGGAGGGGCGGCAAAAGTTCAAGGCCAGCCTGGGCTACACAGCAAGACACTCTCAAAGAGCAACAACAATAAAACAAAACCAAACCAAAAACAAAAGAGCCTTTAGTGATAAATGTCACTACATGATGGGCCTGGATGTCCACTCTTCATGAGGACAACACAGAGCCAGCCAATCCACGTACCCCTCCACATGAAGCCATATGCCATACTGCTCACAGAGCTCTCTCAAACGTCCAATCTTGTCTGTGTGCCCGACTGCTGCAGTTCCTACCAGAAAACAAATAGGCAAGAAGATTAAAAGGAACAAATATCTTCTGAATGTTTATGGCATAAGAGATTTTATATACAGTATCTCTCCAGGAGGGAAGTAACATACCCGTTTCGAGAGTCTGTGGACCAAAGTTAATTTCTTTTACAAGTTGATTTACGTAAGCTTTGAAGATATGCAGTCTCCATTATATGTATCTAATTGTTACTGAAATCTTCTATATAGTGACTTTCTATATACTCTTCCTGTTAATTCATGAATACAGTGAAGTCTCCCACCAAGACTGTGGATCTGTTGACTTACACTTGCAGTTTTTTCTTTAGTTTTTCTTTATTTCAAAGATATGTCCCATAAGCATTTCTACTCTTTTAGCAGATTGTCTTTCACCAAACAAAGTTTATTTTATATACTAATACTGCTACAGTATTTTTGTTTTGTTGGTAGTATTTGCCTAGACCAGCAGTGGTGAACCTATGGCACACATGCAGCAGTGGCCTGTTTGCTGTTACTGAAAGCTCTACAAGGTTCATCATCCCTGGGCTACACTATCCTTTCCCATTCCTTTCATCTTTTTTTTTTTGTCATTTTACAGGCTACTGTGATTGAGGTGTGTCCTTTATAAAAATACACAGATGAATTTGTGTATTTTTCCATTCTGAAGCCTGTTTAAACATACTAAACACTTTGAGCCCCTCCTTTGGTAATCTGATTGCATTACAGATTTTGCCGGCAGATCCTTTTTCACACCGAGCTGAAATAAAACTTAGTCATGCATTTTTCCCATTGGTCCTCACTTTCCAGTTAGCAGAATCCCCAACTAGTAAAAGTTCATACCCTCCCCAAGGACCTCCACAACCCAGCTAAAGAAAATGGCTCTTTTGCACTGTCTGTGCCAGGAAAAGGGCTGAAAACTTCCCCTTTATACGTAAGTCTCTCTCAAAGTTTAAAAAATGTCTTAACACATTTAGGTTGGTTGAAATAAGATCAAATGCCAGCACAGTGCCACATGATCCTTCCCTCCAAATCAAGGCCCAAAGTTGTTTAGTGACTGGACCACATTCAGATTCCTTTCCGAATTTTTTGGCCGTCCGCTGACTAACCCGACATGTGCACTCTGGGCACAGCAGTGTAACCACTGACCACCCCTCAGGCACATGCCAGCTGCAGCTCCTTGCATCTAGCAGGTGACTGGATATGGGTGGATTTATTTCCTTATAAACAGACAGCAGATAAGTCAGGCAGGAAATGGTGGTTTTCTTGCTCGCAATAAGGTGGACAGTTAAGTATTTTCTAATTTTAAATAAATAGCTTTATTGAAGTGTAATTCACAGGCCATAATTCCGCTCATTTAAGTGCATAGTTCAATGAGTTCTGACAAACATAGATAGGGCATAACCACCAATATAATCAAGGTATAGACTATACCTATCATCTCAAAAACTCCTTTATTCCCACTGTAGTCAGTTCTCTTCCTAACTCCTCACTGGCCCCAGACAATTCTATCTGTTTCTGTTAGTACAGTTATCTTTTCTAGAATTTCATTGTTTTGTTTTGCTTAGAGTCTTGCTACATAGTTCAGGCTGGCCTCAACTCTCGGCAATCCTGCCTCAGCCTCCTGAGTGCTAGGATTGCAAGCTTGCGCCACCAAGCTCAGCTAGAATTTCTTACTAAAGGAATTATATATTAAGTTGATTAACTTACTGTGCCTGGCTTTTCATACTTAGCATGTTTTGAAATTCCTCTATGTTGATGTGTAGGTCTACATTGCCCAGGTGAGGCCTGAACTTGTGATCCTCCTGCTTCAGTCTCCCAGAGTGCTGGGACTGTGGGTACACACAGCTGTTTATTGCTGAGTGCTGCATTACATGGATACACCCGTTTCTTTATCCATTCACAGACGAAGGAAAGCTGTGTTGTTTTATTTATGAACATTCTCACATAGGTTTTTGTGTGGAGATATGTTTTCATTTCTCTCTGATAAAATACCAGGAAGTGGAACTGATATATGGTAATTTAATATTTAGCCTTTTTTTTTTTTTCAGGTACCAAGGATCGAACTCAGTACCTTGCGATTTCGAGGCAGGCGTGGTGCCACTGAGCTAAATCCCCAGCCCTATATTTAGCCTTCTGAGGAACTGATGAACTGTTTTCCAGAAGGACGGCAAGATTCTGCAACCCCACCAGCAATCTATTAGAGTTCCAGTTGCAGTGCATACTCACCTGCATTTGGCACTGCTATTATTTTCTGCATTCTAACAGATACCTCATTGTATGTTTTTTGTTTGTTTTGGGTGTGTGTGTGTGTGTGTGTGTGGTGCTGGGGATCAAACCCAGATACCTCATTGTATGTTTTTTGTTTTGGGTGTGTGTGTGTGTGGTGCTGGGGATCAAACCCAGAGCCTTCTGCATGTGAGATAAACACTGTCACTGGGTGACATCCCCAGCCCTCATTGGTTTTAAACTGCATTTTTCTAATGACTAAAGATGTTAAGCATCTTTTCAAGTATTTATATACTTACATTTTCTTTGTTGAGGTGTCTGTTCAACTCTTCACTTTAATAAACTGTATCAGCTGTCTTGAGTTTAAGAGTTCCTTACATATTTTGAAATATTTTCAGAAAAATGTATTGCAAATATTTCTTCCAGTCTCTAGCTTGCTTTTGGTTTTTTTGCGTTTTTTTGGTACCGGGGATTGAACTCGGGTCCTTGCACTTGTGCAGCAGGCGGCGAAACCACTGAGCTAAATCCCTGGCCTGCTTTTTGTTTTCTTAATAGGGTCTCTCAAACAGCAAAAGGTTTTTTTTATGTTGTTTTGTTTTGGTGCTGGGAACCGAATTCAGAGCCTTGCACATACTAAGCACATGCTCTACCACTGAGCTATATATCCACAGCCACGCAGTTAATTTCTGATAAAAGTCTATCAAAACTGCTTTTTGTCTTAAATTTTTGCCTAACACCCAAGATCACAACGATCTTTTCCTCTATTTTCTTCTAGAAGTTTTGTTACCTTAGTTCTTATGTTTAGGTCTATGAATCATCCATAGTTATTTCCAGACATACAGACAGACAGACACGAAGGTTCAATGTTTTTCTATATGGATATCCACTTGTTTCAAAACCACTGGTAGAAAAGGCTACCGGACTATTGTTCCTCCCTTCAATTATGTTGATATCACTGTTAAAAATTAAATGATTAGCCGGGCATGGTGGCACATGCCTGTAATCCCTGCACTCCTGGGCAACCTAGTGAGACCCTGTCTCAAATTAAATAATAAAAATGAGCTGGGCCGGGGATTTAGCTCAGTGGTTCTGCCGCCTGCTGCACAAGTGCAAGGACCCAAGTTCAATCCCTGGTACCAAAAAAAAAAAAAAAAAAAAAAAAGAGCTGAGAATGTAGTTTAATGTGAAGGCCCTCAGTTCAATCCACAGTACAGCCACCGAAAAAAAGTGACCAAATACATCACATAAGTATTTCTGAACTCTATTCTCTTCATTTAATCTCAGTTTTGATTATTTGTAGTTTTGTATTTATGTGTATTTATGTGTGCGTGTGCTGGGACCTGAACCCATGGCCTCACACATGCTGAGTGTGAGTTCTACCACTGAAGATACTCTCAACTACTCCCCGAAGCTTTATAGAAGTCTTAACATTAGATAGGGTAAGTCATCAAAATCTGTTCTTTTTCAATATTATTTTGGTTATTCTTAGTTCCTCTGCATTTCCGTGACTGGTTTAGAATCAACTTACCAATGTCTGTAAGAAACTGCAGCTTCCTGAGATTCTGACAGGGACTAAATTGAATCTATAGATTGGTCTGGGGGGAACTGACTCAACGTTAATGACCCACACATGATGTATCAGTCCATCCGAGTCTTCTCGAATTTCTTTCAGGAATATTCTACAATTTTCAATGTACAGATTCTGTGTGTACTTTGGTAACTATAAAACTTTTTCATGTTTTTTATGCTATTATAAATGATATTTTACATTTTATTTCCACTTGCGCTTGCTAGTAGGCAAAAATCCAGCAACCCTGCTAGGTTTACTAATTAGTTTCAGTAGCTTTTCCTTTAGCTTCCTCAGAACTTTCTACCTATACAATCATCAATAAAGATACTTTTACTTCTTTTCTAATCTGAATATGATCTAATTATTTTTCCTGCCTTACTGTACCATCTAGGACTTCAAGTACAGTGTTGAATTCAAGTACCTTCAATATAATAAACAGCAGAAAGCGGAAGTTGACATGCTATCTACAAGGTAAATGTTCAGGAGTAGCTCAGTGGTACAGCACTTGCTAAGTATGTGCTAGGCCCTAGGTCCAAACACCAGCACAGGGTTAGGAGTATGACATTTCAAAATTCAATTTAGAAAGGAGAAAGGAAGTATGTAAGAGAAGCATTTACAACCTAAATGAAAAAATACACAAAATAATTCTCAAAATAAATCAATAGCTGAAAAATCTAAATAGCTAACTTTTAATATTATAGTTCTAGCTACCATGTGGATAGACTACCTTAAACACGGAACACCCAAACATTTCTTCAGATTTGGTATTTTTTGGCTAAGCACTCCCCTCATACATCCAAATCGAAGATTCAGATTCATGATACCTACCAGCATTTGCAACAAGTAACAAGGGCAGTCTTCCTCTTTCTATATCATCTTTAATCAGTTTCTCCAGGAAGGCAACATCCTGAAACAAAACAAAACAAAAATAAAACCTCACAAAAACATGAAGCAAACAGCTAAAAGTTATACAATAAAAAATAATGACTTCCAAAAAACCACATGACTCTCAGCATTAATCACTCAAGTCAATTTTTATTCTTGACCATTTGTTTTCCCTAACACTAGATATGAAAATCAAAATTTTCCTTAAAGACTAATGAGAAAAATTAGTTAAATGAGAAAAAGGTAAGAAATGTACTGCTGGGTGTGGCGGCACATGCCTGTAATTCCAGCACTTGGGAGGCTGAGGCAGGAGGACTACCATGAGTTCGAGGCCAGCCTAGACTACATAGTGAGTTCAAGGTCAGTCTGAACTACACAGCAGAAAAAATAAAAAAAAGATTTGAAAAATAAATAAGTATACATATGCAGGCCCAGTTATTTCTCTAGTTTTAAATATTTACATTTAATGAAAATGTTTTCTCAATCTCCTCAAAAAAACAGCCAAGAAAGTATCTATATTGATACTGATGTACCTAAATTAAAAATGAAACTACCTTGAAAAAAGAATACAGATGTGTGGGATCTATTCCTTTTCCTCTGGCTTCAATACACAGAAATTTATCACTTGTATGTCTAAAAATAAGAATAGCTCAATCCCAACATTACAAAAAACTTCAATTTCAAAATCTGCCATTCATAACTACAAGCCATAATAATAACTACTTAAAAGTATTAGCTTTAGGAGGAATTTCTGGTGCTTAGTTGGCTGCCATGTTTCTACTGGGAGAATGATCGGGCTGGGTAGTGTGTGCTTACCATGCGTGATGCTCTGGATTCACTACTCCGCCCCTCCCCCGAAAAAAAGAAAAGAAGCAGGTGACAATGATTGTAAGATTCCTTAAGAGCCAGGTGTTCCTGACCTATATATCAGCCCGCCTTACGGACATTCAAACATAGAAACAACAGAAAGACTGAAGCAGCAAATGAAAGCTAGTAGTATGTGGAAGCCAGCAAACAGAACTTCAGTTGAAAAGACGGCATAGTTTCAAAACACAATTTCATATTATTTTATAAATCAAAAGGAGAACTCACCATCTGATGCTGGGACCCAAACATAGTGTTACAGGGCACACGACACAAGCATGGGAAGGGCAAACCAAGCTGCAAGAACAAACACTCGCCTTTAGAAGGAAGATTTTTATCCCCTCTCACAACTGTGAAACACCCAGGGTCTAAGACAACACACAATTATTCTTTCAAAACAAAATCTCAGTAGGGTGTGGTGGTGCATGCCTGTACTCTCAGCGCTTCAGATGCTGAGGCAGGAGGGTTGCTGCAAGTTTGAGGCCAGCCTGGGCTACACAGCGAGTCAAGGCCAGCCTAAACTACACAGCAAGATCCTGTCTCAAAACAAAACAAAACAAAACAAAACAAAACAAAAAACTCTCCCCTTAGGAATTAATGTTAATATTATGAATATATGTTAAAGTAATTTGGAAAGTCATAACAATAAAAGTGAATTTCCAAGTGCCTTACAAGAGGATACAATGTAAAATTTTCTAAAATAGTCAAGCAATACACCAAAAAGCAAAAACACTTTTCCAAAGAAACTCTGAGTGCAGAGCATTTTGGAGGATAATTTAGGATTCCTCCTCCAAGCATTTCTGGTAAATAACACTGGCTAAAGGCATGTGAAGAACAATATCTTATTTATGGGTCCACCCACTCCTAAAAAGAAATATGTATTAGCAGATGTACATTTTTTACAGAAACAAAGTCAGTGTTATGGTGACAGTTATTGTCAAATTAATTTTATATTCATTTTTAGCTTCCAAATCCTTGAGGAATGTCTAGTTTTAGAATTATAAAGTTGTAGTATACTGTTTTGTAAAACTAAGACTTGGTAGCATTTAAAGGCCCAAAAGTTAGTAAGTACTTTATTCACACATTTTTCCCCTTAAAGGATTTCTTTTTAAAGCAGCAATGGGGCTTGAACCCAGGGCCTTACACATGTTAGGCAAGTGGCTCTGTCACTGGGCTACACATATCCCCAACCCTAGGATTTTTTAAAAGGTTACAAAAGAGATACCAAGTAAAACAAATCACTGAAAACTAGACTTTATAGGTCATTAATCCTACACTGTTAACAGTTTAGTATATAAACTTTCAGGCATTTTCTAGATAAAAATATATTTACAGATAAATCTATTTCTTGGGTATTAAAATAGGTATATAAACACATACATACTTTTTTTTTTGAGACAGGGTCTCGCTATGTAGTTCAGGCTGGCCTCAAACTCTTGGAGGTCCTCCTGCCTCAGCCTCCCAAGTGCTGGGATCACAGGTGTGTGCCACCATGTCCAGCAAAAAATGTACACACTTTTAAAAACATGAATGCAACCACCACACAATCATTAGTCTGCCACTTGCTTTTCTCAGTTAACAAAATACTCTTACAGCTGTTTTGATGATTAGATTACTATTCTAAGTCAGCTTCAGATCCACAGGAGCCTAGTTTTCTGAAGGTACGCAACTAATTTGTATCCTGTCTCTACAAAAAACACAGAACTCCCACTCTGGGAAAAGGTGGCAGGAGGATCAAAAGTTCAATCCCAGACTGAGCAAATTTGCAAATTATTGAGAACCTGTCTCAAAATAAAAAATGAAAAGGGCTGGGCATGTAGATCATTGTGAAGGCTTTGGGTTCAATCCCCACAACAAACAAAAACCACTTCCCACTTTGTATAACCTCAAAAAGAGGACAATCTCTTGTGATCAGTCTTTGTAGCTCAAAATCAGCTGAATTTCTTCTGTTCATCTCCAAGTGCCTTCACATCACATCTCATATCAACCCTCAAATCCTATGGGTTTTATGTTCAACATTCCTGGTCAAGAGGTTAACAATTTCTTATCTCAAGGAAGTTCCCTCCAGTTGGGTCACATGCAATCACGAACTTTAAACATGGTAATGCCCATTGATCTAGTAATTCCAGATTACCTCTGAAAACCTATCAACAGAATAAAACTCCAAATTTAGACAAAACTTTTTTTTTTTAAGAGAGGGTTTTGCTAAATAGCCCAGACTGGCCTTGAACTTGCAGTCCTCCTCCCTCAGCCTCCCAAGTGCTGAAATTACAGGCATGCGCCCCAACATCAAGCCAGACAAAGCTTTAAGTACAAAGATGTCCGTAACAGCACTGCAGAGAGCATTACCTGAAGGTGGTCACAGAAACCAAGGGACTGGAAATACTCCAATTGTCCAAAGGGGAAACAATTACATTACTATTTATTCACATGAGGAATTATCATAAACATATTAAAAATATCTTTATTTACTTGAATTCTTGAAAGATGATATAGTACTTCTGTTACAGCAGGAAGTTTTTAAAAAAGCCGTATACAACTATGTAACAACACACACACTTTGACTACTGTCTGGAAAAAAAGATAAAATACTCACCTTGGTTGCCTCTAGGCAATCAAAAAAGTATAAACTATCATACATTATTTCTGAATTCAATAATGCCAGATTTTTAAAATAACAAAATAAACATACAAGAGGACCATCTTTCTTTCAACTTGAAAACAATGCCAACTAAAGAAATGTGTCTGTAACTTTCAAAGTTACTCAGCTACTCAGGAAGCTGAGGCAGAAAGATTGCTTGAGCTCAGGAATTCAGAGCCAGCCTGGGCAACATAGTGAGCCCCCATCTCAAAGAAAACAAAAGTGAAAACAGAAGGAAAAATGGAAATGAAGCTTTTGTACATAGAGAGGGGAGGGGGCTTGAAGGGGAAATGGGATAAAATTTTTAAAAAAGAGAGAGAGAAAATTACCTGGTTACAAAGGTACTGGCCCAGGCCAGGTCTAGCAGCAGCACTAAGATAGACAACAGGCTTTTTGTTATATAACACGTTGAATCCATCTACTACAAAGTCTTCATATCGAGAATGAATGGCAAGCCTACAGATCTTGGCAAGTCCTTCTCTTTCTTCTTCATGGAAATAAGCACAGCCATTTTCATACCTGTTAAGAGACACTTACTTATTAATGTTCTATTTCTGATTAATTCTGATTTATAATCATACAATCATGGAGCAATTCTTCTGTCCAGCTAGACATTTTCACCTAGGTCAAGCAGAGAGGATAGGAATGTGGAACACCCCCATTTAGATGGCTGACAACTCCTACAGCTGGAGGTTATAAAGAAGAGAGGCAATGACCTTTCTTGCATGCCTACTCTAGAAAAAGCAGAAAGTACAGAAAACAAGTAGAGATTAGGAATCCTCTGGACACAAAAAGCTTGAAGATCCCAGTTCTGGCTGATGAGGGCAGCACTGGAAATGCAGGCATGACTGTCAGCAGTTTCGGTCCTAAAACATCCACACTAAATAAAGCTGCCAAAAATGCTAGTTGGGCTAATTTTTGGGTTTATTACAATCTACTTGGGGCTTTTATTCCCCTCCCAGAGGAAGGATAATACAATGAAAGTATTTGATTCAAATCACTGCTCTATTAACACGTGGGAATCAGGAGGATAACCAAAAGTAAACGGTGACACTATTGAACACACGTCTTATAGTCCCAGCTTTCTACATGTATTAATCCATTAGCTCATTTAATCTACATAATAATTCCAGGAAATACACGAATGCTCTCTCCTTTTAACAGATGATAAAACTGAGGCACGGGGAAGTTAAGCAACCCTTCCGAGTGGTATATTTGAGCCCACTATAGCTCCAGAAAAAAGATCCCTGTATTTGACTCATAAATAATTTTTGCTGGAAAGTAAAACTCATGCCTTTACCTGAAAATTCTGCACAGCCATAAGGTAGCATCTGAAAGTATCCTGGTTGTAAGCTTTCTCAGTCTCTCTTTGTCCAGAGTTGAAATATAAGCTCCCAGACTATGCCCCAACAAAGCCATGTGACCTTGTTCGCCAATATTCTGGATTCTGTTAATAAAAATTCATTAGGTTAAAAAAAGTGTTGAGTCAAAGAATAAAAAACAGAACTTAAGAGACACAGTGTTCCACAGAAATCTGGCAGACTTGAAATCCACTTAATGTCTCAGAAGTTTCACAGAAATTCGGCTAAATTCAGAAAATCCAATGCATATAAGGGTACTGAAAGTTTAGAAGGAATATAGTGTTAAAATCTGAATCCTCATGGTACACCTAAAAAGTACCAATAAAAGGATATACAAAAAATTTTTTTTGAATACTCAGAGATTAATATCCTTCTTTTTGAAAAGAAGATTTATTTGTAGCTTTTGGGAAAGAAGTATTCTCAATCTTAAAGTCTTCAAGTGAAAAAATAAATATCTCTTATTGAGCACATACAAACTACTTTTGAATAATTTCCTCTTAAAATATTTTAAAAATTAAATACCAGCTTTAAGAAGTACAGAGGAGGGCCTGGGGGGCTAAAGCTCAGTGGCAGAGCATTTGTCTACCGCACACTGGGCCCTCAGTTCTAATCCTTGAATTTAAAACAAAACAAAAATATATAGAGGGTATAACTAAGATAAAATGAGTAGAAAACACTTCTTACAAAATTACTAAAGATAAATTTCTGGCATTAGATATATTGAAAATAATACAGCATACTCAAGGAGAGTTAGGTACTTTTTTGTTTTATATTTAACAATGTTTTATATTTATATTTGTTTTATATTTAAAATGGATGGGTCAATTTCCCTTATAAAGAGTAACTATAAATACAAGAAATAAGTTACAACTATTAACTGTAAACAATGAGAAAAAGACAAAGAACCAAACAGGGTAACAAGCAAAAGACAGTTCACAAAATGGGAAATATAAATACTGTCAGTCTTAAAATATACAAAAAGACACTTAACCTGGTTCAAAAGAAAAAGTAATTTTAAATTATGCTGAAATATCTCACCAGAACATTGTTTTTCACTTGTTGAAGATCCTTAAGTTTGATAACACCATTGCAGGCAAAGGTATGGGAAATGAAGTATTCTCATATATTGCTAGTGGGACTGTGAACTGGCATAACTGCAAGGAGGAAAATTTAGCACTATCTATTGAAATTCCAAATGCACATACTACCTTACCCCCTATTTATACTTCTAAGATTTCACCTTCCAGACATTTGCCTCTGTAAGAAATTACACATGTCCAGAGTGCTAATATCTCAGCACTCTGGGAGGCTGAGGCAGGAAGATCACAAGTTTGAGTCCAGACTGGGTAAATTAGTAACTTTGTGAGACCTTGTCTCAAAAAAAAAAGCTGGAGATGTAGCTCAATGCAAAGGCCCTGGGTTCAGTCCCCACTATCAAAAGAAGGGGAGGGGAGGGGACAGGAGGGGAAGGAGAAGCAGGGGGGAGGGGGAAGGGGGAGGGGAGGGGGGAGGAAGAGGAGGGGAGAAGAGAGCAGATAGGAGAGAGAGGAGGAGAACAAATGATACATGTCCAAAGTCATTAGCTGCAGCATAGTTTTTTCCCGTAAAACATGAACAGGAGACTAGTTAAATAAAATACAGTTCAATCATTCCAAGTAAAACTAAATACCTCTCAAAGATAAAGCTCCTTTTATACTGATAGGCAAAGAAACTCCAAGACATGCTGGGAAAAAAGCAGGGTGCCGACCGTGGGCATATTATTTATGTTTTGGAGAGGGGGGGATGGGGACATTCTGCTTGTGTATGCACACATGAAATAGCTGGGGAAGGAAGCATATTTAAGAAACTGGTAATTCTGTACCTCTAGAGAAAAGAGGTAGGGAAGCAGGGGTACAAAGGAAAATTGTCTTTGGACACCCTTTTTATCTACTGAATTTTGAAAAAGGAGACCATATTATTACAAAAATTTGAAATATTAAAGACAAGATGAAATTAGATAGCTAAGTAGATGAATAAATAACTTAACTGGATGATTCCCAGACAATGTAGACTGTCACCAAGCAAACTGCAGCAATTCTAGCAAGCAGAAGGGGAAAAGCACAAACTTACTTTCCAGTCCTTCTGGTGGCCCCTTTTGGTAGGACCTCATACCACAAAAACTACAGGATCTAATTTAATTTACTTATTTATTGAAATATTTTTTCTGACATAGGGTCTCATTATATAGTTCAGGCGGGCCTTGAACTCATGGCAATCCTCATGCCTCAGCCTCCTGTGCAGTCGTATTACAGTTGTGTATCAATATGCCTGGCCTAATTTTAGTAAATGTCTTCCTTTTGCAAAATATATTACCTAAAATACATAAATTATTTCTGAAAAGAGGAAGTATTATCTTGGTATGACATGTAACTCTTAATGCAATACAATTTCTTATTAGAGTCACTTGTCAGAATGGAATTGCTACTGAAAGCAAGAATGAGGACTTTCACAGACAGGGGAGCTGCCAGCCACCCTTCATTACCGGGCACTCTGGGGTTCCTCATCGTCATCTCCGTGCATCAGATTCTGGACCAGCTGCAGGATGCTCACCATATCTTGTCCACTGCAGAATAAAAAGAGCTGATGGGCTGGAGGAAAAAATGTATGCATACAGACTCATGTCTGCACACATACCTCCCCCCACTCCACCCCAACTGTTTCTCTCATCCAGATCAGCTGTTGTGTTTTGACTTGTTTTTGAGTATCTACATGATAAAGGAGGTAAGATACTTAAAAAAATAAACCTCAAATTAAACTGAATTCTGATTGCCTTACTTGCAATTAACTCTTCTATCTAAATGCGAGTTTGGTTTTTAAAAACTTCACCAGCAATATATTTTTTTTTTTGTACTGGGGGTCAAACTTGGGACCTTGTGCTTTCGGGGCAGGCAGGGGAACCACTGAGCTAAATCCCCAGCCCCTCCAGCAATATTTCTATACCGGCCCATTTGAATTTTGGAGTAGAAATAGAGAATATTTAGTAAGAGTTTTAGAAAAGTCAAAAGTCCTTATAAGACATAGAAGGCCTCAGCACAGTGGTGCGCTGTGCCCATAATCCCAGCTATTCAGGAAGCTGAGGCAGAAGGATCTCAAGTTTGAGGCCAGGAAACTTAGTGAGATGCTATCTCAAAATAAAAAAGTTCTAGGGATGTAGCTCAGTACTAGAGCATTTGCCTCACACAGGTTCAATCCCAAGTGCGCATGCGGGTGTGCACACACACACACACACACACACACACTCAAATGCTGGAAGGTCACAAAAACAGCAAGAATATTCTCATGCTACTGGTACATCTTGTTTTATTCCATCTAGGAGGCTTGTCTACTTGCACTGCCTTAAACATGTACTTCATTATTACAAACTCTTTCCCAAGCTGGGAAACTTGAGATCCATTTAGAATGTAAACAGATTTGTTTCTATCCAACATGTTACCAACTGCTTATCACACAAGGAGGCATAAAATTATGAGAATTCAAATGGCTGAAGTAGTAAGCAACAGCAAGGCAACTTGTTATGTACTAATGTAAAAATGTTACTTCTACTAATAAGAAAATGACTAATAAAAATGTCCTCTTTCAAAAGAGAAGTACTGTCAAAACAATGCTAAAAACCCACTGTGGTGGACTGACTAATGGTCAACTTATAATGCCCAGCTGAACTGAATCACTGTGGTCTGGGTGTGAAAGGTCCATCTGAAGATTGTTACCAATAGCATAAAAAGAGAACTAGAGGGGAAGATCTTAGCATGTTGATTTGCTAGGAGAACCTTGCTGCGGATAGTTTTTCCGATGCAAACTAGGATGATCTCATCAGAGAAGCTCGGCCCACTATTTCTGGGAATGGTTGCTATTTTCATCAGGGGAGCTCTAATCTTCACCGTGAGCATCACTTCCTGGCTCTAATGTGGATCCCTCAGCTTGGTGGCACAAATCCTTCATCTCACCAGCGTAGATTTTCTGGCTTCCACCACTGGCCTTTGGGCCTTCCAGGTGCAGATCCTTAATACAGACAAGCATGAGACACTGCTGTGGGCTCTAGGCCACTGGCTGGACTCGAGGAGGACATTGCCTTGGACTCTAGGACGTCAGCTGGACTTGTGTGGGAAACTGCTGGGATCCAGGCCCTCAGCTGAATCCTTTGGGCTTCTAGTGTGCAGTTAATCTCTTGCACTCCTTTGCATAATTATCATAAAATAACCTTATAAGTTATGTGTCCTGTATTTAATGTATTCCCTTGCTGAATCCTTCTGACTATAACACCCACCTTCCCCAAGGTGCTTACCTTCAAAGGAGAGGGAGCCCCTCAGTCCCTGTAGCGATTAGGGCAGGGAGGAAGGCTTGAGGCACACTGAGGTGCTGGCCTCTCGACCTTGAATGAGCTACCCCAAGCTGCTAAGCCCTCACATTATAGAATGGTGAGGACAAAACCAGACAGTGCCTGGGAAGCACTTAACCCTATGCCTGGCCTGTTAGTGGTCTCAAATGCTTGACACTAGCAGTAAGTGTGAATACTCCTACTGGTTTTTTAGTATATGTGCTGCCGAAGCAAGCACTCCTACTGGTTTTAATGTACTGCCATTCTGAGAATTATACATGTTCTTGGGAGTATCTCTTCCAGGGAAACTTCTGTGGAATTAGAAGAAAAAACAAAACTTAAACTATTTCTTCTCTTTAAGGAGATCTATAGGATTTGCTTCCTACGTTGAGCATTGAGCCACAGAAAGCAATTCACACCTAGAGGGCTTTATTGTTTTTCTGAGGCAAGGTCTTGCTATGTAGTCAAAACTTGCCTTGAACTTACTATAGAGGCCTCCTGCCTCTTCCTCCCAAGTGCTGGAAATATAAACATGCACCATCACACCCAGCTTAGAGTGCTTTAAATCAGCACAATTTATGCTACAGGAAAGGGTGACTATTTCGGGGGGGGGTGACTATTTTAAAATATTAGTATCCAGGTATGTTAGATGTCACACTGACTACCACATTGTGATCTTCCCCTTGTAACCTTGGACAATTCCTATGCAGGTCAATGTAAATCGAAGGGAGTTGTACTGTTGACCTAAGTGCTGTTTCCTGGTTATAAAAGAAAAAAAATGTTTGTCTCAGGAAAGCTAGCTTGGGACCTTAATTCCCAGATTGACTGCGAACATCCTGTGAAAATTGCACTCAGCTACTCTCCCACCCCCACCCCCGGGTAGTTCAAACCACAAAGACATGATAGATTTGCTTTAGTAGCCAAAAATTAAATCTTAACTCTGCCAATCAATATTACAGATGAGATTTTCATTTACTATATTATACAAATTATAAATATTACCAAATTAAAATATCTCTCACAATAAAACTCAGTTTATTGAATACATTACAGATTTCAAGGATGAACTAAATCTGATATTCATTCCAGTTAATAATTATAAATTTGTGCATGGCTTTTGAGTCATGAGGCTGGATTAAGTTTTTTGAGTGGGAAAGAGAAAGAGGCTGGTAAGGCTCAGCACTATCAATGCCAATGGCATTTCAATTTTCTAATGTTACACTGCACAAACTATATTTAAATATTCTTTGAGCTCATTCAAAGTAAAATTGCAAGTAAGAGAGATGGTAAAACCTTGGGTTAGGAAAAATTTATACCTTTAATCTTCATTGCCACCTACCTGCCCTGGAGTGGCCCTGGAATATCCTCTGATACAAGCTTCTTTTCTTTTTCCTCCTCTATTCTTCTAATGTAAGGGAAAGAAAAAAAATTTATATTAACTTGAACTTGTACATATGTGACCACATTATTTAGAACTTCTTAGTGACTGATGTAGGAATGGAAACACATTTATCACATCTCAGACCCCAGTTCTGGGCAGTCTGAGTTTCAGGAAAAGAAAAGAACATGAAAAAATACTTCAACCCATTTCTCAGATGATGTCCTGTATGATCTGAATCTATAGTAAGAAGTATTCATAGATTCAAATTAGTATACTATATAAATGAAACTTAAGAAACAGGAAAATTAAGGGCTGGGGATTTAGCTCAGTGGTTTCACTGCCTGCCTTGCAAGCACAAGGACTCAAGTTTGATCCCCAGTACCAAAAAACAAAAAAAATAGAAAAAAAAAAAGAAACAGGAAAATTATAAGTTCTTCCCCCCAATTTCAAAATCTTTTAACTACAAAGTACCTTCTACTGAGGCAAATACTAATTTTAAAGTCAGCAGAAGCTATGCATGGCATTTGGGAGTTAAAGGTGTCCTTAACAGAAGGAAGCCAGAGCTACCAGTTCCCAAATAGGCTGGACGCCTTGGAGGCAGAGAGGCCTCTGCCTGCGCACTTACCTCTGACTGCCCTCCAGCATCCTCATTGCCTCCTTCAGGTTTTTCCCCATTTCAGCTAATGTGGGGTCTGCTATCTGGGAAACCAAAAGAGGCTAAATTTTAATTCTCCTGTATTACTTCTGCAATATACTTCACCCAGAAAGAGCAAATCCAAGCCTTCGGGATTATAAAATACAAAGATTATAAAACACATATAAAATTTCCAACAGTATAAAAGTGTAACATAAAAAGTAAAAATCCTCAAGTTCTACTCCCTACAGGTATCACTTTAAAGCATGATACATCTCTTTCCAATCAGAAAATGAGGACCCCAGATGTGGGGCACACTAGGCAAGTACTCTACTACTGAGCTATATAGTTCTTCTCGACATGTACTCCCACATACACACCCCCGTACTGGGGATGGAACTCAGGACCTCGTCCTTGCAGGGCATGCCGGGTGCCACTGAGCTAAATCCCTGGCCCCTAGACCAGGGTTCTTCTGAGCCTCAACTCCCATGAAGAACTTTGCGGGGAGGGGTAGTAAAAAGTTGGGATCTTTAGGTTTTTAGCTTCTTAACCCCTATTAAGCTTTGTTTATATGTAGGGATTTGAGCAAAACTTGATTTGTAAAAAGTTTCAAGACAAAGTATAGGGCCGGGAATGTAGCTCAGCATCGCTGTGCCTGCCTGGCAAGTGCAAGGTCCTGAATTTGATTCCCGGTACTGAAAAAAAAAGGTGGGCCAGGGATTTAGCTCAGTGACACTGCACCTGCCTCTCAAGTGCAAGGTCCTGAGTTCAATCCCTGGTACCAAAAAAAAAAAAAAAAAAAAAAGAGAGAGAGAGAGAAAGTATAGTGAGGTGAGGAAATTCAGACAAAGTGATTTGCTGGTGGCCACTGGGCTAATAAATGACAGCATGGTGCTGAAACCCTGGGCCTCTGACTTCTGCTTCTGGCCTCTGTTATAGCATACTGACTCTCACAAGTAATCATGTAGCCATAGCCACTCTGATTTAATAGAAAAATCATTTTCTAAAAGGTATTTTCAATAAAATCCACCACTTAAATATAATCATGAGATAGGTTAAAAAGCAATCTAAAAGGTCTCAGTGATCTGAATTAGGAAGAAGAACAGATAATGGTCCAGAGAATTTATCTTAACTCCTAAGTCTGCTGATCATGTTCCTTATTATCCTCAACTCCTGAGACTCCAATCTGTGTCTGCTACTATCCGGCCCAGTGGAAAAATAAAGTTTTGCTTGATCACCCTCATTTCCATGCTTCATGCTTCTGACACTTGTCCAACCTGAACTGAACATCTTTGAGCCTTTTATCTCTAGCTAACTACTCAATGACCAATATTTCAAAATGAAGCATTTCACACTTTTATGTCCCTCAAATGATATTGATGACATTTTTTCCTAAACCAAATATCTAGATTTCCTGCCTGATACTCTGAAAAAAGGTTGCATTTATGGGGATAATGGGAAGACCCAATAAAACTGGGGCCATTTTGACATATTACTGCCATTTATCTGCATGATTCCTTCCTTACATCTTTTACTGTGAACTATTTTATGATTGCTCTCTCCAGCACAGATATCCTCCCCAACAAGATCCTGAGTTTCTTCACAAATTTGGGCTTGTTCTAATTCTGGTTGCTCCTACAGGACTAAGGGTTCAAAGTCAGCTCTATTTTTAGCATTGGCTATCAACACACTTTGCCTGTAAGTGCAACCCAGCTAATTTTTCCTATAGGATTAGAATGAACTTTTTTTTCTTCAGTTAAGCATAGACAAGGGCCGGGGATTTAGCTCAGTGGTTCTGGCACCTGCCTTGCAAACCCAAGGTCCCAAATTCGATCCCTGGTATCAATCAATCAATCAATCAATCAATCAATCAATAAAATGCATATCCTATGGGCCGGGGATTTAGCTCAGTGGTTCCACCGCCTGCCTTGCAAGCACAAGGACCCGAATTTGATCCCTGGTACCAAAAAAAAAAATAGACAAGATAGCCAAAGGTGGTGGTGCATGCTTGTAATCCCAGCACTCTGGGAGGCTGAGGCAGGAGGTCTGCAAATTCTATTCTAGCCTCGGAAACTTAGTGAGACCTTCTCTCAAAATTTAAAGACTGAAGAATGGGGGGTTGGGGGCTGGAGATATAAGGAAAGGCACTGGGTTCAATCCCCAGAACAGGAGGATGGGGAAGAGAACACACAAAACAGCTGACTCTACATGAAATGAACAGTATGAAGTCACTCTACATGACAGTATGAATCTAGAAACACTAGAATCGTACGTAATGACTAGATGCTTATGCTTATACTGTGAAAGGCAGGAGGAAAGTGCAGATTTATCTTCTCCCATCTGAGTCTCTCACTCATTGAGTGTACTGGCCTATGTTTAAGTTGTTCTTGCTCTTACTTTCTTTTGGGGGATGGGAGGAGGGAAAGTAACACTGATGGTTAAATTAAATGTGAATATGATATGACGCTAATGCTGTAGATCCTGAAGTGGTTGTTGCACTAACTGGATAATCCAAAACACAAAGACTTATTCAGCAGCAGGATAATATCAAACTCTTAAGCCAAGGAGTGCTCTAAGAAAAACTGAATATTTATTCACTGGTTCCTTAAAACTAAAAACCATGACTACAAAGCAGCTTCCGCTGGCAGCCACTATTTTCTTATCTGCATTTCATATCCTCAGTATCTGTTACAGTGCCAGACAAGGTAGCTGTGTGATGAGTGTTACCATACAATAGCAGGACAAGAACCAGACACTAAACTAATGAATGAAAATTAAGTTGTCTAAAAATGCCTATTATTCAGTATATAGAAATAGATAGTGAGGGGCCGGGGATTTAGGTCAGTGGTTTCGCCGCCTGCTGCACAAGCTCAGGGACCCAAGTTCGATCCCCAGTACCAAAAAAAAAAAAAAAAGAAAGAAAGAAATAGATAGTGAAAGGAGAAATGGTATTCTGTGTCAGGTTCTTAGGAAGAATGTCATAATTTCTGTATTTCTTAGCACCAAGCAAGGTTTGCCACAGAACAAGTATTCTGTAAGATTTATAAACCTTAATAACTATTAGCACTGGGCTGCCTACTGTAATCCAGGCATTATGCTAATTAACCCCTTTACACGTATTACTTCCTAATTAACACAAAACCACGTAGTTAGTAGGCTTTACAGCCAAAACTTAAAAGTCTGTATTACTGCAGAACCAGGATTCTTTACAGTAATAGGCCAGTGATGGTGAACCTTTTAGAGACTAAGTGCCCAAACTGCAATCCAAAACCCACTGATTTACTGCAAAGTGGCAACATTACAATTAAACCTGAATACTGAGGTTTTAGTTTAGAAAAAAATTAACATCTTTTGTCTGAAAAGAAAAACAATTAACAGGGCTGATGATTTAGCTCAGTGGCCCCGCACTTGCCTCACAAGCTCAAGGTCCCGAGTTTGATCCTCAGTACCAAAAAAAAAGAAAAAGAAAAAAAAAAAACCTTATCTTGGGCCAGGGATTTAGCTCAGTCATGCCACCACCTGCCTTGCAAGTGCAAGGTCCTGAGTTCAATCCCTGGTACCAAAAAAAAAAAAGCCCATTTCATTGATCTCTGTTATTATCTTTCTTCTTTCTTTTTCTTTTTTTGGTACCAGGGATTGAACTCAGGTCCTTACATTTGCAAGGCAGGCGGCAGAACCACTGAGCTAAATCCCCGGCCCAATGAAAAGGCTTTTTAATTGAAAGGTAAAATTTTGCATTTGGCATTCTTTTGCACAATTAATGTGATCTTTGCTGTTGTATGCATGCTGATAATTTGTCAAATCATGGAAGAGGTGACTTGGCTCGTGTGTCCAGAGAGGGTTGTGTGTGCTGCCGCAGCATGTGTGCCATAGAATCGCCACCACTGTACTGGGTGATACCACCTCTTACTCTTATCAAATAAGTAAATGAAGTAACTAACAACTCTAAAAAAGCTCTGCATTCCAAAATCATACTTAGAACTAAGATTTGATTTTCAAGATTATCTTTGCTTGATTAATGTTTTCACTCAGGAAAAAACGACGACTCTCCACATAGGGAAAATGTCCGTCCTACAACAGTCTTGCCTGGATGACTATAAACTTACCCATTTTTAAGAGTAAAAGGGGATACTATTAATAATTAAACCAGGACAAAAGGTATAAACTGGGATGGTCCTGGGCAAACCAGGATGTACAATTACCCTACCCTTAACTAAAACATTTACTTCAGATTGTAGGCCATTATTTGACCTAGGGAAGCCCAGGGAAAATTTATGTGGTGGTGGTGGTTTAAGAGCTATAAGATGAAATAAAGGACAATATAAATTTGAAAGTAGTGCATTGGCAGTGCAAGTATTGCCAGTGGCATCAGTCTCTGTACTGTAGGGTCTTTCAATATTGCTACAAAAGACTTCTTTTCCTACCCGTAAACAGGAAATACACTTTCCTATATTTAAATCTTGAGTAAAATGATTTGATAAAAATCTGGGGCCTACTAGGATCAAATTCAGAAAAATAAGGTTCCTTTTTTAACAAAAAAGTCAACAGCTTCCAACCACTCCTCTGAGGCCAGTTGGCATTTAGTCTGTTTCTTTTCCAAAATTTTTCCTACCAACCTCAAGCAAGCCAATTCAGTTGCAATATATGTGAACGTAGTATTTCAAGGTGCTTTTCTAGGAAAAGGAGCTATAACCAACACAGACTTCTGGGTTGGATTTACCTAGGAACTCTGATTACCTTAAGTCCCTTAGCTTTAAAGAGGCTTGTAACAATTACACCATGAAATGAATTCAACAAAGCATTTTCTAATCACAAAACTGATAGATGGCCATTGTTAAGAATTTAGAAACAATTATACTGATTGCAAATTTACAAATTATATTTGTTATGATTGATTCTGCTGTGTAATGGAGTGGATTCAGTATTTTTGCTACAATATTATGCACGGTAGGACTTAATTCAAGGCTAATGAGAACCATTCCATTGTATGCTTATTGTAATATAACTGAAACTTTAAAAGGGCTAATTTTGTAAAACAAGCCTGACTCTTCATCCCTGTATAAAC